TTTTTTTTTTTTTTTTTTTTTTTTTTTTAAAAAAAAAAAAAAAAAAAAAAAAAAGAAAAGAAAAAGAAAAAAAGAAATCAAATAAAAAACATAAAAAAATAAAAATAAAAATTGCAACTCACAGCACAGTGTTTTAACTTTTTCTGTATCTCTCCCTCTATCCTTAACTAAGGTTAAATGTACATTTTAATATCGTTATATTATGCATATATGCAAATGATATTTACAGAAAAATCGTATTACAATGTAAGTATGCACGTTTGTGTATCTGTTTCTGTGTATTTGTGTATACATATATAATATATATAACTGTAGAGCTTCCGAAACAATGTATATCACCATTATTATTTCGGATTAATTCCAACTTTGTTATAGTTTCGTCAAAATTGGACTAATGCTATATATAAATGTTTTTTAGGGCACCATTTCACCGATATTAAAAGTGTACAATGTTCAATACACTTTTGGCCATAATACTTAGATGCCAATAATTTTCTTAAACACGGTCATTATACATAATACACAAGAACACTACATTTTGTTTTCTTTCATTTTTCTCTGTTCCTTTTTCCAGTTCAAAATACTTAATTGTCATTTTAGGCCACGCGAATTCCATCGAGTGCGTCTCCGAAACCATCAGAAGCATTAATATTTCTTATGTTTCTTCCTTCGCAGTCAACGGTGTACGCATAATGTTTTTTATATAAGCGAGAACAGTGTAGCACCTGGTATCACGAATCTCTTCTCACATGTCAATCGTGTGCATGAATTATCATTTTGTCATATATAATCTAAATACCCTTTTGCTATAACACGAACGACATAAGAAAGAAAAGATCGTGAATTTATTTTCTGTTCCACACTCAAAATATCTTGTTTCACTCCCTTTCATTTTAAACTACAAAGGATAACTTAACATTTTAATCTAATGGAATTAAGCAACCAGCCATGAACCTGGTGTTTATTCTGGTGTTATGAATTAATGATTTAATTCATAATCCGGCCAAATATAATAAAAATTTCCCAACTAATAACTTTTCGATAGCACTACCTTTTATGTGGGTTAAGATCTTGGTGCCGGATGATTGTAAAATTGCTTTTGCGATTGGCCAGTTGCAGGATATATTTGATTTCCAGATGGCGGAGTCACAGATGTATACTTGGAGATCGATACTGCAGTGGTAGATGGTGGAATAAATTGAGGAGGATATGGATTCGAGCCCGGCGGTGCTTGTGACGCTTGAGGTATTAAGAATTGTTGTGTCTGCTTGTTTGCAGAGGTCTGAGGCGTAGCATTTGCATAGACTGGTTGTGAAGTGTTCTGTGGGACTGTGAAGTTTGGATATTGAACGGAACAAGGTTTAGCTTGGAATTGAGGATAATGAATAGGTGCGGATCCTGGAGGAGGAATATAAGGTTGAGGAGGCAATTGCGGTAAAGGATAACCTGGTGGAGTATTTGATACATTGGGATGAGGTGGAGACGCTTTCCGCGCTTTTAATATTGCCTCTGCTGTTAGACCTGTAATAATTTACAATCGTAAGAGCATAATATTAAGAATATAAAAATCTAATGTATAGAATATTTACCGTGTTTGCGAGCTCTTTCTTCTTCGTCGTCGCTAAGAAATAATCCAAATTCTCGTTTTAGTCTTTCTGTAAGATTTTCTCTTTGACGCTCAACTAAAGTTGGTGCTGCAGACCAACCAATTGTTCCCTCCTCACCACCTATAAAAATATTAATGAAATAATATATTATTTTTAACATAAGTAGTCTAAATCTTTTACTATTATCTATTATTATATATTATATTTATATTAACCTTTTTTTTCTTCTCCTTCCGCATTATTGAAAAGCGGTAATGTGGTTAAGGTTGGTATATCGAGAGATAATGAAATTTTTGAACCTTCTTCATCAGAACTAAGTGATGAAGTTCCACTGCTCGCACTGTCTGATCTACCTCTAGCTCCGCTTTTATCTGTTGTAGAATCGCTCGATGGTTCAGGTTCTGGAGGTGTTCCAGATGATTGTTGTTTCCGTTTACGATATTCTGATATGGATAACTAAAACGACAAATTACTTTTGAATAAACAAGAAACACATAGTTGAATAACTTCGAAAATAAGATTTTATTCTATAGTTATTCTAACCTTTCGTTTAACAGGAGGAATTGTTTCAGGTTTAAATGTAGGAGCTGGCATACTATTTGGAACGACCGTTCTCGGATCCTTTAATCGTTTGATTTCTTTAGGTGGAACTTCCTCTTCTTTTATTGGAATTTCTTCATTATGAACATTATGAACATTTTGAGAAATAGGTTTTAATACAGATTCTTGTATTTCTATATTTTGTTCCGAATTCTCAGATTTTGATTCGATATATATAGTATTATTTTCTTCAGCATTATTTATTTCTTCTTTAGCATCATTAGGTGTCAGATCATCCAATTTGGCTTCCAGCAATTCTCTTAAAGCCGTTGAAAGCATAGATTTTTCTTCACCATTTTTTGATTCATCTTCTGTCTCCATATTAATGGTAGATTCGATTATAGCTGCTTCAAAATTCAATTGACTTTTTGAAGCATTTGTAGTTTCTGTTTTTTTACGAATACGTTCACTTAATGGTGGAATGGAATGAAAAATCTTTGGTGGTTCTACAATAGATTCTGTATCCATATTAGAGGATGCAGACTCGAAAATGGATTCTTCTGATGATGTAACAAATGCGGACGGTTGTTCTATTTTCTGAGATTCCTGAATCTGTTCAATTTCTTTAATACTATTCTCCATTGAAGGATCAGGATCAGGATCAGGATCGGGATCGGGATCGGGATCAGGATCAGGATCAGGATCAGGATCAGGATCGGGATCAGGATCGGGATCAGGATCAGGATCAGGATCGGGATCAGGATCAGCATCAGCATCAGGATCAGGATCAGGATTAGGACCAGGATTAGGATCAGAATCAGGATCAGGATCAGGATCAGCATCAGGATCAGGTTCAGGTTCAGGATCAGGATCAGGTTCAGGATCAGGATCAGGATCAGGATCAGGATCAGGATCAGGATCAGATTTGCTTTCAAATTCTTTAAACAATTTTTCTTCATGATTTAAATTAAATGATTTGAATGATGGTTCATATTTTACATCATCCATTTCTTTATCCTCAGATTCTGAATCTTCCTTAGAGCTTTCCATTAAACCCTCGATGCCATCCATACTTTTATCTTTTTCGGAACTAGTATCTACTTTTTCTTTATAATCATTTCCATCATCGCCAGTGATTTTTTTCATCTGAGCTTCAACATCAAATTCATCAATTGACATGTTATCATCGGATTTTATTTCACATTTTATATCCTCAGATCTTTTATCATCATCACATTTATCATCTTCAATTTTAACTATCTCATTTATACCACCTCCATATTCAAGTCTCATTTCAGCTACTCGTTGCTTTAGAATTGCATCTGATTCCATAACAGCAATTGGGGAGCTGAAATCTTCCATTTCTGTATCACCTTCATTCTGATCGATTATCTCAACTGTACCTTTTTCTATGTTTGAATTTTCTTCCTTTTTAATAATGTACTCTTCTTTACTCTTATCCTTTGGATTGTTGACAAATTCATTTTTAATAGATCGTAATTCATCTTTAACAAAAGGCTTTGATTCCAAATGCATATAAGTGTCACAATCCATTTCTATATTCTTTTCTTTTTTTATTCCAATGTTTTCTTCCTTCACCAACGAAGTATTCATCTGTACTATATGTTTTTCAGATTTCATAGTTTTAACTTGAAAATTCTGTGGAATATCTATAGAAAGTTTTTGCCGTACAGTCTCATCCGAATTTACATGTGAAACAACTTCCTGTTTTATAGATTCTGTTGTCATATGACGTTCATCATTCTGTTCAATTAATGACGATTGTAAATGCTCGATAAAATCATCCTGGAAAAAAATTCAATTAAAAGATAATAAATTTTAATTTATTTATAAACAATATTTCAATATATAAATTAATAATAACTTACTTCATTAGGACACAAAGATCTATTATTCGGAGTAGATTCAGGAACTAACATAGTAGGTGTAGTTGGTGGAGTATAATTATCTGATGACAAACTTTCTCTGGCTATTCTTCTTTTCTTTGGTGGAGCTACCATTTCACTAGTCGGCGGACTATCTGGTCGACTATTCGGTGAATCACATTCTTCAGATATAGCTTGACGTAACCATCTTTTTTTGGCAGATCCTGTGGAGACAGGGCATACCGTATTGCCACTAATCGCTTGTTTGCGTTGTGGTGGTGAATCGCAAATTCCAGAGACGGAATTTGCTGCTTGCACAAGAGTTGCTAAACTCTTAGCCGCATAGCTCTGTGTTAAAAATTCTGCTGATGTGTCTGTTGGTAAAGAAAAATCTGATCTACAAAGAGAATTTATCGAATTCGAAGTGGAAGCTGGTGGTAATGCTGGTAATGGTGACATTTGAGATATATTGCTTTGTGGTGGATCAGGAGACTCTTTTAACCATTCATTCATTAGAACTTTTTTGGTTTTTGGAAATTTAAAGCCAGGAGCTAAAGGACCAACTGCTGCTGCGACTAGCAAACAAGCCGAAGATAAAGGAGTAGATGGAGTTGAACTTTGAGAACTGCTGCTTGCACCACTATCGCAAGTTGGACTCTTAACTGGTGTTGGTTGCTGTAGAGGTGGTGAACTAGGTCCAGGTGCATTAGAATTTGCTAAAGCTAAGAGCAGACCAGCAGCTGTTGGAATTCCTTGATGAGCAGGTGTCGTCACACTTTCATTCGTGTTCTTGGCAGGCGTATTTAAATAAGAAGAATAAGAAGTATCTCGATTTTGCGAATGATTTTGACTCAATAAAGGTGGTGATTGCATCGAATTACTTTCTTCTCCAGACGATTCGTCGGAATCCGCAGAATTCAATCTTGTTCTTCGGCTAGTACCTTGTGACTGAGAAGTACTAGTAGTTCTTGCTCTACCTTTTTTTCTTTTCCGTCTTAAAGGTCTGTCAGAATTTTGTTGTTTCTGTTTAGATTGCATCGTCAAACTATGACTATCTTCATTATCGCTATGCGTACCACCAGATTCCTTTCGTTGTGCATTTCGTGCTTGAACTTCTTGCTTCCTTTGTTCCGCTTTTTCTAATCTTTCAAAAGCTTTCATTATGGCTTCCATTTTTCTTTCTTCTCTGGTCATTTTCTTTTTGTCTTTCTTAGTTTCCGAAGGTATAGATTGATTTAAATTTGGAGAAGTCTGTGGCTGTTGAACTACTGTCAATTCCTCCTTAGATAGTTGACGCATTGTATTTGACGCTATAGTGGTTGTAACTGTTCTTCTCAGTGGTGTAGATACTGATGATACTGTCGTTGGTGGTGGTGCAGGTTGTGCAATAATAGTACTATTAGACATCACAGTCGAAGAATCGCTATCCTCGCAAATTGTATTTCGTCTACCCCTTCGTCTTCGTTCTCGACCATCAGCATTTTCAGCCAATGCTCCATTACTTCCTCTTCTGTTTAATTGATTTAGAGATATTATTTGACATTCTCTTGGATTATTACATGCACAAACAATAGGCATCATAGAGCTATTTGGATTAGGTGACAACAGGAGATCGTGTTGTTCATGTCTGATTGTAATTTCAGCATTTTTCTCAATCGCGGTTGTGGTCACAATATATAAATGTAATGTTCCCTTTTCTATACAGTGTTTCACTTCCGCATTAGGTTTACAACTCCGTCGCACAAATCTAGCATCGTTTCCATACGTTCTGGTATCCACACAAACTTCTGTACCATCTCGTGGTAATCGATAAAAGAATACAAAAGGTCCAGGTCTCTGGGTATGTTGTCTTCCTTGAGGATAGGATGGTCGATGTTGTGTACTTAACATATACTTTCCACGTAATTCAACGACAGGTGTATTTGGTGGAAGATACATTGTTGCCACCAAAAACTATATAAAAATTATTTATTTTAAATAAAAAATAATTAAAATAAATTTTCCATTATAAAATATGTTCATACTTACCCTAACATTGTTACTGTGAACATTGAGCCTATATTTTCCAGTGGCAATAACATTCATATTATTTTGTCTTAAATCGCTATGTGTACCATTCACTTTAATAGATGATATCCTAGCTCTTAATTCTGGACTATAATGATTCGTTACAGCTTCTTCGTAACGTTCGATCCATTGTCTTAATGGTGCGACGTTGGAACTCCATGTATCTTGAGTTTCTTCTTCTTTATCTTCTAAACTCATTCTTCGTTTAGCTTTACGTTTTCCTGGACCACGTTTTGTAGTTTCTTTCTTACGAACAGTACTAGATTGTCTCGGATGTGAATCTCTTCTTTGTCTTTTTGCGACATTATTATTATTGTTGTTATTATTGTTATTCAGTCGCCTTACTTGCGGTGGTTCGGATTTTCGTCGAGGAATTTGCTGTTGTATAGTTCGTTTTTTTGGAATTGTGTTTACACCAACATCAGTATCTGCTGAACTGGTAGATGATGTATCGGATGATGTATCCGAATTTAACAATTCTTCTCGTTTACGCATTTGCAAAGCACGTGCTCTTTGTCTATCTACACGCCGTGGTCGACAAATTTCACAAAGATACTCATCAGGAATGTTAGAACGATCTATACCCATGCAATCAACATGTTGCCATACTCTGTAATCATATATTTGTTAATACAATATTATAAAAAATTTTGTTATATATTTTGACAATTTTATTTAGACTTACAAACATCGATCACAGCAAATCATGTATCCATCATCATGTTCAAAATCACTAGAAAATAAATATCGAATTTTATTAAGTATTTTTTATCGATTAATTTTTAAATAGGAATATTTACCATATACATCTAGTAACACTGTCTTCATCGTCTCCTTCTCCTTCAGGAGCCGTTTCTGTTTCTTCACCTTCCAATTCAGCATCTCTACCTGTTTCACTACTAATAACACTGGCTGCATCATCATCCACATTAGTGCCAGTAACAACTATAATGAAGAATAACATTTTATTAAAAATATATTTTTTCTTGCATCATTATTGAACTGGATTGTTACAGATTACAAAAATATACCTTTTCCATAAATATAAGAATGCTGAGAAGTTGCAGTCGAATTTCCACCACCATTGATGGGTTGCTTTGGATGAGACGGTGGTGACGGAGGCGATGGTGTTCGTGGAGGTGGTGCGCCATAATTGTGATCCTGTAGGACGTACTGAAGACACTATAATCAAGAATTAAGTGTTCTAGGAACAACTATACATGACTACAAAATGCAACAGTGCACACTGCAAAAATGATTCTGAAGATTCATTATTAAATTTTGCATTATGTTTACTATAATATATGTTACCTCGTAAGGAGGGGGTATTCTTATAATTGGAGTTGTAGGACGTTGTTGACGTTCATCTTCTTTCGATTCACGCAATTCAGATTCAGTTCTAGAAATTGATATTTATTAACAAATTTATTTTCCATAAATATAAATATATATAAATTTATTAAGAACAATTTCTTTTTTAATCATTAATTGATTAACAAGTCTATCTATTAAAAATACTAACTTGTTTTCTATATCCTTGCGAGTATCCATACTAGTTACTGGTAATAATGTCTTCACTTGTCCAGATTGCTGCCTAATTTGTTGAGGAAACTGCGATGATGTAATAAGCTGTTTTTGTTGTATCGCTTGCTGTTGAATTTTAATTGGTTGATTTTTATGCATCAACATATTCGTAGCAACAGTCTGTTGAGGAAGCAATGTTTTGATGCTTGCCTTTTGTGCGACTGCAGTTGTTGATCCTTGATTTTTTACAGAAGCTACGTTTGTATTTAAAGAGGTCTTAATACCGGTTACTTTCTGTGTATGATTCCTTTGGGCTGGTTTTTGTGGCGGTATTGTTTTGATGCATCCAGGTTGTTTTTGAGCATTCTGCGGTCCTATAACATTCTGTTGTTGCTGGATTATTTTTACTGGCTGCACGTTCGTATTTCTGTGCAATGATTGTTGCACGACATTCTGTGAGTTTGAATTTTTAACCGTATTCGTAATTTTTTGAGATACGTTTTTTAAATTGCTTTGTAAATTTTGTGTTTGGTTCTTTGGTACGCCTACTCTCATTACCATCTGTTGCTGCTGTATTTTAGAATTTACTACTTGGGTTCGTTGGTTATTGGGAATTGTCGCAATCGTCGCAACCTTTTGATGGACGTTTGTAATATTGTGACTTCTTTGTGTTTGTAAATTCGTATTCGTTTGCTGTTGTTGTGGCTGTTTTTGCACCATTTGTTGCTGCGATTGTTGTTGTGAACTTTGTTGTAACAACTGTTGTTGTAATTGGGACGAGTTTTGGATATGTACTTGCTGTGATTGTAAATTTTGCGGCTGTGAGATTACTGGTTGCTTGTTCACAGTTAATAAATTGGCATTTTGCGATGTTTTGGTAATATTCGGAACGCTATTACTTTTGCAAACATTGGTGATTGATTGTACTCTATTAGAATTGACTGTGGCTACAGTCTGAGATTTTTGCAAGGCTGCTGTAGATTGTGATCTTTGATGTTGTGATGGCTGAACTTGTTGCACATGTTTTTGGACCTGTGGCAATTGCTGTTGACATTGTACTTGTCCTACTACTTGTACTTTCTGTATGCCAGCTACAGAATTGTTAGATTTTTGAACATTATTTCCTGCTGTAGTGTTTGATTGTTGTCTTGGCACAGTTACCGTTTTCTGTGATTGAACTTGTATTTTTTGTAGTCCCTGCTGTTGATTACTCGTTATTTGTTGTAATTGTGCTTTATGATTCGGATGGCTATTTAACATCTGTGATGACATCTTTTGGTTATTATAGATCTGCGCTACTTTCTGTGTGCTCGCGGTATTCGTTTGTGCTTTCTGGAGCGTCGGATTGCCTTGTTGAGCTCTCTGTATATTGGCATTGTTCGTGACTTGATTAACAGCGAACTGGGTAGTTTGGGATGTAACTGTTGACACTTGAGTCTTTTGTACAGTTTGTATCCTCGGTACGGAATTTCTTTGAACGGTTACCCCTTGACTGACATTAGTCACGGCTTTCACTTTCTGCAAGTTAACTGTCTGAGCCTGTCCAACGATATTTTGCGCCTTCACATGTATCCTTTGAATATTGGGCAATGAAGTAGCGGTAGTGATGGCTCTAACTGCATTGTTGCTTACAACTAATTGCGAAGATACTGGTTGAACCTTCAAGGGCATGCTAGTTTGCAAACTAGATATCGTAGTCTGTTGTTGTTGTTGTTGTTGTTGTTGTTGTTTACTCTCACAGGTGACTGTTTGATTTCTAGTTTGCTGTTTGTTCTGTGTAGACACCGCGTGTTGCAAAGGATATACATGTGCCATTCCGCTGCCTGGCGATGGCAAAGACTGAGTATTTACCGGGATATGGGTAATGTTGGAAGATGCGTTTAGTGTTAAAGGTGCGGATTGAGTCTGGATAGACGACGGTACTTTCTGTGAGATCACGCGAGTCGACAATACCTGGGTGGTATTTGTTTGAGAACCAGTAATTCTCTGCACTTCCCTAACAGCTTTCGCCATCGGGTAAGTAACGCTAACTGATTTTACAGTTGAGAAGGAAATAACATGACCGGCTGAAATTTCGGCGCTGCTTTCTAAACATTGAAGAATCTGAGATTTGCCGGTATCATCGTTTCCAGTAACGGCTATGTTTGAAGTTTCCTGATTCATCGACGAAGATGGCAAAGTATCAGAGTTCTTTTCGAGGGATGTTTCTACCGTGCCCAATTGCAGGACAAAGCTCATGGTGGTTTCAGCGCTCTGTGGAAAGCTGTCAACGCATTTCGACGTAGCGACATCATTCTCGTTAGTATCGGTATGCTCGGCTGGGGATACCGGGGGAGGTGGGTCAGACCCTGGGGACAATTGCTCCCCACCCCCACCTGTTCCACCCCCCGATAACTTGATCACCGACGGGGTCGACGTTTTGGAGGCCTTTCGATCACGCCAATTGGAAACTCGAGCAAATTAAGATCGAATGGCTATCCTCGCCCGGCAGCTTGACGGGATACCACGCTCTTCGATTCCGCTATTTGAGGATTCTGAACCATAGGCTGTAACATACGAGCGAGAATCTTATCATTAGTTTCACTTAAATTTTTGAAAATTTGATAAATTTATAATAAAAAAAAACGAAATAAAGAAATTGTGAAAATTTTATAATAATATTCGAAGAAAAATGTTTTTGAAAATTGATCGATTAGCTACGTACTTTAACCGAAACATCTCGCAAGGTCTATTAATTATTCGATGTCCATGATGTAGTAATGCAATACTATACTCAAAGTTATTGATTCAGAAAAACATTTCTTTCCAGTACTTCGATAAAATAATTGATTATCTAATATAAATCATCACATTTTTGCAAATCCATATAAATATCAAGTAAACATCTATTAATCGGTTCATAATTATTTCATATACTGAGATGCTTAACCAACAATGAAAAGGAAAAGAAAAGAAAATTAAGAAAATATGCATTTAATATTTAAAATATTTAATTATGTTAAAATGGAGATGAATAATGATAGAAACAATACTTCTTGTTCGCATTGATAATGTTCCTTGGTAATTCAGAATCACGCAATAAAATTAAATCATTTAATTTAAAGAGATTAAACTATGGATAGATTGTAAATGTTTAACGTGTTTAATTATTATAATTCTTGTCATCTATAATTAAAATTGTTCAATGTAAATTATTGAAAAAAATTTTATAAATAAAAATTGATATATATAAATAATATTGATATATATAAATAAAATATGATAAAAAAATAATTCAAAAAAATTTGAAAGAGATCAATTTATTATAGTTTGCTAAAGTGTTCGCCATTGCTGAAATATCACTGCCATCTAACAACATCAAATTGAAACAAAGCAAAACGCAAACTATAGGAATTTATGTATTTTTTACATCTTATAACGAACTCCGATGATTCATTTTGTATTATAATTTTATCATATATAAAATTCTAAATCGTATATTATTATGTTATTTAGAAAAATAGAAATATAATGAGTCACGATCATTACTTTCAATTTCGAAAATGATAAAAAAATACTTCGGAGAAAACCGTAACAAATCGTACGTTACGATAAGCATTCGCCAGCATGTCAAGTCCGCACGTGCGGCTGGATTCGCGCCAAGTGTGCCTGCGTATTTTACTACCTCGTCTGTACGTCGTGCGCTCCTAATAAATTAGTATTATCAATTTCCTCGACTAAACTCAAACTGCTTGATGTAAACAACCGACTGAATATAAAAATATAAAACACTGGCCAGTCACAATGATGGAAGTTATCGCAAGCTTAATTCATTTCGTGTAACTATCGATAAGAGAGAAAATATAATGTAACTAGCAAAACAAATCCAAATAATATAGAAATACTTTCAAATATGAGAGGTGAATATAGTCTATGTAAAGTAAGAATAATTATGTGAATTCTTTTATTTCTACTGCAAATTTAAAAATCTTATTTTATCTTATCTTATAAATCTATAAAAATGCATTCTATATAAAAACGAATGTTATAGTTAATATTGATTAAGAGTTAAAATAATAAATAAATAATTCAATATGATTTGTAATGTAAAAAGAACAGATTATATCATAGCTAAAAATAATTATTTATTGCAAAATACAAATCAGTTTAAATTATAAAAGATAATCTATGAATTAAGATTATCCTATATAATTACAAATATTGTTTTCTTATTACTTATTATTTAACTTATAAACCAAATGTCATTAATAACATCAGTCGTTAAAGTAAGGCAAATTTAAAGATATCGCGAAATGAAAAATTCCACGGCGAAACTGGAGTCAGAATCACGTGACGAATACGTGAATAGAAGACAAGTTTGTCGATGCGTACATTACCTTTTCCACTGCACTCATTGTCAGTGGCACGTGCTGCTACTATTAAAAACTATCAACGATTGTATGGTCGTTTCTCAAGTTTTTATCCCAGATAAACATTTTCAAAAGAAACATTTAATTGGATGAAGTTTTATAGAAATATAAAAAATCCTCACTAATTAGGATCGTAAAAAAAAAGTATTGAATTTTATACAATATATTGAGATATCTGTCATCCTAGTATCTATGATTGAAGAAACTTCGTTAATAAGTAGTAGTATATATTTTTAGTAAAATTTGCCACTATCTCGCTTAGATGTTTAGATTTATTTATATGAAATTGAATTGAATTTCCGATCAACAATTTGGCGGGCATTGTGACCGATTCAAGAAAAGTGTATGATATGTTACACAACTGCATCGCTATCACGTGACTGGTTGCAGTGTAATGACGTTATCGGCACTGTCAAAACGCCAATGGCAGAGATTCAGCTTCCATCGTGCGACCACGCAAGCGTCTGTTAACCGAGGTTATGCACCGTTCCGTATTGCGTTAGATTTAATTTTAATCAAATCATATGAAAATCCAATGTAAATTTTTATTACAATTCTTGCTCTTTTTCTAAAAAATGCAGTTTTTTAAGATTTGTTTATACAGAATATTTGAGTATGTCTAGATGTAATATTATTTCAGATGGCATGAAATCAGGAAAACTGCCAGAAGTAACTGTATACTTTGTAACAGAAACAAAACTATATTCCTGCGGCTAAATATAAACTTCGTTTTAGCTGTTACACATGCCATTCCGAGCTGGCTAATAAATGTTCCGTGATGCATTTTCGCAAAATGTAATTTTCATGCTCATGAAATGAAACGATCTTATAAAATATTTAATTATAAAATAATATCTTAACAAAGAGCATAATATCTTAATAAAAACAGATTCTCAACTATAATTCTTGACAATTTTCTAAAAATAGTAAAAAATATTAATAAGTATCTTTCCAATATTAACCAAACTTGTTACTAGACAAATGATTATCGTGAACAATAATTTATCCAAAGTGTAACTTATTATTAGAAAAAAAAATCTATATTTGGTACTATATTTCTAAGAATAACTTTATCTTTAAGAATAAAGGATTATTCGGCATAGGAAATTGTCGGCTATATTTATAATAACATTAAAATCTGACTAGTTTCGTCGTAATCATTCCAATAGTCGCGAAGTTAACAAGGTTCCGCACGCGACTCGCCGCGGAGTAAAACGCGCTCGAGCGTGGAGCGTTGCACGGGTTAGTTTGTCACGTTGGCAGCAATGGGATTTGTGGCGACCTACTTGGCGTACCTCGACCCTTGCATTGATTCGATACGAACCAAAATTATTCCTGAACGATTATCGCTTGATGCTCTCCTATTCCATCTTCTTGCCACTTTGATCATTCCTATGATAGATATTTGCATTCTAATTTTGTTTCGTGCAAATGAATTTCATTATTCTTCGAATAAGTTCTACCAATCAAATATCATCAATGAAAAACTATTTTTTACTATATATAATACTATATACAATTATCATAGAATAAATTTATAAATCATAGAATTTATGTATTAACGCATAAAAGTGGGAAAAAATTCATTTAAAAGATTATTAGGTCGTATACAATACTATCAATCGAGCATTGTTACTTGACATAGGTCGACGTCTCCAACAAGTTGTTTGACGCTTCCGCTGACCCCTTCTCACCACAGGGCTATTCGACGTTGCAGGAAAACGGTGTTGCTCTCACTAGCTACCCGTGCGCAGCTGAAACGCGCATTCTACTGCCATGTAACAAGCTCGATTGTAAGCAATCGTGCGAATGGAACTGGCAATGATACCCAGATTCTCTTTTTTCAATTTAATTCAATTCAAAGAACAATTCTCATATTATAATTAACTAATTTGAAAAATTCAATCTATAAAAATATATATAAAAAATTATATAGATATCATTTTGAATAAATTATAGATTGACCATCGATATATTTTCTCGTTTTTTTTAAAAAATAGCATTGATTAATTTTATTTATTTTCTCTTCGTTTATTCAAATCATATTTAAAACATATGTAAAATTAAAGAAAATCAGCAAGATTATAACGATTGATGATGATTTTCTATTATCAATGATACTATCTTTATCTATGATTATTTCTATGTTAAATAAATGTTCGAATTGTCTTTTTCTCTCTATTACCCCTTCCTCTTTTTTTCCAGCCAACATCGTTTTTCTCGAAGCCTATCTTTTGCTCTGCTTTCTTTTTCTTCATGACAAGAGAGAGTACGAGCATATAACATACAGTAAATTGTATACAAAAGCCTGATTACTGGATACTCGGTGAAATATGCCAGTTCCCCGCCAATAACCGGTATCATGTTGTCCTTTCTTTACATTTGCGCTGTCTTCGCCATACTTATGGCAGAACGATGCAGAAGAAGGATCACTATATCAAATAGAACGAGAGGAATAGTAGAAAATGGCGAACTGCTAGTGAAATAAATCGAAATACAAAACAATAATATATCTGGGATAGCTATCACTGTATAAAAGATTTTCCTCTGAGATCGAATATTTCTATGATTATTTGTTTCTGAAAATCTTTTTTTCTTCTATATTAAATATATTAGACTTTGCATGGATAATTAAAAATTAAAAAGATCCAAAAGACAGAAAAGCAAGGAAGGATTTAAACGGTACTCGTGAAGATGGTTGTTGCGCGGAGAACAAGCACTCCATTCCACGAGAGTTTCGTGCCACTCCGCTCGATCATGCATGTAAATGAATGGGAGCGTCACGAAGCCTGCGAATGTGCTCGTGCGCGCCGCAGTTTTGCAATCCCTTTTCGTACTTTCGCGACGGTCGATATGCAACACCACGAGAATCACAGTTGTTCAGTAAACTTCTAAAAGATGGCTTATATTATTTACATGAAACATATTTATTTTTTTTATAATTTTATAACATTACTATAAATGCAAAATATACTTTCAATTTAATTTGTAAATGAATAGGTTATAACAAATATACAACAAAAATATATTATGAGTATAAGATTGTTAGAAGTCTGTTTAATTTCATTTTACTTGTCAACAACTACAGTAATAGAGAGCTTCGCGATGTGATTCTATGGATTAATCACTTAGGAATGCAATCATATGATGAAGAAAGATTGAAATATTTATGATAAACTGATTAGAAAACATCCCATTAATTAATAATCAATTTTTATTTAAAACTTTATTGTTTGAAATTACGATAAATTATGATTGGATTAATATTGCTAATAAGAAATAATAAAAATTTAACAGATAAAAAAAATATAAATATAATATAATAAAAATAAATAAATATAATATAAATCTATGAAAAAAGAAAAAAGGAAAAAGAATGAAAATAGACATTCTCGTTAGATATAATTTAAACAATTCTATGTATTGCATGGGAGTATGAGGGAACGAGAGATGAAGATCCAGCATTGTGCACCTCCGCTATTATAACCAAGGTTACCAAAGCGTGCATCACACACACATACGCACCCGCCACAGCACATATGCATGCATACAACATATATGTATGCACATGCGCGCACACACTTCAAATCTGAAACTCTTTCAAACTGGACTAGATTTTGTTTGTATTTAGTTGCATCGTTAATCAGAATACATAAGTTATATTTACACATATATTTTTTATAACTATACCTTCACTTCTACAATCATATAATTTTTTTCTCATGCAAATATAATTATCTCTAGATAAAAACCATTAACATTTATGATTTGATAAATTATTATTTGATTATATATGATATTATAATCTTTTATTAATAATTAATATTTCTGTCTAATGTTCGAGATAAAATTTACGGTATGCGGAATAATCTTATCATGATTTATCAAACGAAAGTTCACGTAATTGTAATATGCAATGAACTTTCTTCCCGAATATAAAAGAAAAAAGTAATGATTGATTTGATCAAAAAAAATGAATATATGATTCATTTTTATAAGATATATTTTATAGCTGATCTAGGCACACGTATATTTCTTTGTCAGCAAAGAGTTAGCCACGATACACGCTCTTTCGTTTATTCTGGATATTGTAACCCATAGTAACCGCAAGCACCATTAATATACTCTGATGTCATCCCGAAGAAATGCATCGGTTCTTTGCGGCGTAAATCTTGCGAAATCGTCTCTGGTCTCTCTGCCACGTTTGATTTTCTATCGAAATTAACCAGGAAAGCACGATAACATAATTTATCAAAATATTTATTTTAAATGAATTTTAAAATATGTTCTGATCATTGGATATCAAAATATTATAAATAAAAAAATTATTACATACAGTATTAAGTAACTTAATTTCGTTCTATAGTATTTTTTACAAAGCATTTTAATTTTATATACAGCTTTATACTCAATATGGAAATAAATAACTTTGAGATGAATTACGATTAGCAATATCTCGTAAATATTTACTCACTTTATTCTTCATTAAAAATAAATGAAAATAAAAAATAAACAAAATATTTCATAATCATAATTAATAACATATTATATATAATCTAAATATATTATCATAATTTAGATTTATAGAGTTTATTTATATATAGAGATATAAATAATTTATTAAATTAGCAAATATTTACTGATAATTGATATAATCTTAAATATCGTTTTATAATGACAAGAATTCATCTATATATCAAATATATAGTACATCATGAACAAATTGAAGCATAATCATATATGCATATTGGCTCTTTTTCGATAACGTTAATAAGATCGATTAATGATAATAACCAGGGAAGAAAAATAATCAATAAATTCTAATGAATCCAAATACTTTTACTGTTATGCTAATAAAAAAAAAAAAAATGAAAAATAGTTGAATTATTATATATTACGTGATTTAAATTTGTAAAAGAAAGCAACCCGATTTTATTATTATTGTCAAAAATTAAATTATGAAGCATTGAAAAATAATATGAATATATATTCATAATATATAGATTTATTTAATTTTTTAGAAGATATGAGAATAGGGGATAAAATTTATAATTAGAATCATAAATTTTAGTTTGAGTATTAGAAATTAAATATTGTAAGATATAATAGATTTTTTTGAACAATTTTCTTCAGGTTATCTTGTATGAATCGAGTATCGCGCGTGCTCCTCACTGCGCGCGAACTTCCCTTGCGGTCGATACGATTTCACCTCGTAGCCAGCAAATGCTACCACCAAAGGCATACTCTATCAAATTAAATTTTGAGTTCGAATATTTAAACTTTGTTTTTTTTAATTTGTATATTTTTTTTACATTCAATTTTAGCTTTAATTTATTTAAATAACTTTACTTCCACGTTTTAATATATATATCACGTATATGAATTTTAAATTATAAAAAAATTTTTCTTAAAGATTTATCTTGGAATTATATTAAAATACATGTTAGAAAAAGAAAAATATATATGAAAAAAGAAAGAATATAATTTTAATTATAATTAATAATAATAAATTAATCAACAATTTTATAACACAAAGGAAAAAAACTAAAGAAAATTATTATATATAATCGATTAGTAATAATTCATAGAGAAAATTCGTGGCGACGCCTTTGGTTATCGACAACCACCCACGAACACCATATCTGCATATACTCCACTACAAGTATTGTAAATGACTTTACAAGCAATTTAATGTACAAATAGCTTGATCTATTAAACAAAAATCATTTTTTTTTAATATAAGATATTTAAAGAAAAGATTTATAAATGTTAAACATTTTTGCACAATATTTTATATTATATATTATTATATATTATTATATATTATGCAATTAAACTGTATAATTTGATGTAACAAAATCTAAAATATCTAAGATTATTGAAAAATTTTATTTAAAAAAAAAATAGAAAATCATTGAAAATTGATAAATTTTATATTCTCGTGATCAAAAGTATCATATAATAACATGTACGAAAAAGAATTTAATTTAACAGAAAAAAAAGATATGCGAAATTTCATAAAAGAAATGATAAGAGAAAAGTAAGATTAGGATCATGAAGGAATCAAGAAAAAAAAGATAATGAGAAAAATCGATAAAAGTAAATGCAGAGACAAGACGAATGATAGATAATTATATTACATATACACGCACACACACGTCTATATATGTTAAAGAAAGGAATGGAAAGGGAAGAAAGAAAAAGAGAGTACTAACAATATGGCCACCTTACAGAGAAACTAGCGCCGCCTAGCAGATTTTTCTATTCCCGCCGTGAAAGTTGCAATATATAAATTTTATTTGTTTAAAAATTAAATAAATTTATAAAAACTTGTATATCTAAACATTACAAAAATTTTAAAAATTTATTATTTCATAATTTGTGAGAATTTGTGATTAAATATTATATATTTAATAATTAATAATTTAGTTTTGACCATAATATTTTATAGTACAGTTCAATGATTATTTAATTAAAAAAAGTTTAAAACATATAATTTTATTATTAATTGATCTTTGAATGAAATATATATTATTGTTACTAAAAATAAATATTATATGTATTTATATACAAATTAATTTTATATTTTATATTATTAAAATAAATATGTTATAAAAGAATTATTTTCAAGAATCTTATCATTTATTTACTTATTTTTCTTATTTTTTTTTTTTTTGTAGTAACAGCACAGATATAATTGCAAAATAAAATCATCGATTTATTAATCAATAAATGTATAGAAATAAACAAGAATTCAAATTCATTTTTTATATACCATGAAAACTTTTTTGGTGAATAATAGATATAATAATAAAATATATGATTAACATTATGTATCTAAATAAAATCAAATATAATTTGCTTAAGAAATAATGTAAAAAAAATTTAATAATTCAATTTATAACTAATACAAAAAATTAAAAAATAATCATTCAAAAAATTCTAAAAGCGTATGAAAAAAGAAAATAAAAAAAATATGGAATAAATGTTTAAATATTCCACGAAAATTAATCACATAATTTTAAAGTAGTATGTGTATGATGTGGTTGACCTGTACGCACTCACCATTTTACTAATCATTGTTGCCACCATTCAGAAACAAAAATTGCAGCTAACAAATACGTTTTAAACTTTGTATTATTATAAAAAAACAATAAAAAAAATGCAATCGAAATCAATTTAAGATGCCGAAATCGAAATTTCGCGACATTAAAATTTTTTTTTGTTAAATGCGATATAATAATATGTCATGAAATATAATAACTATCAATAAAATTATAAAAAAATTTTTAACAATAATACTGTTTTATATTTTCAAAAACAATTTGTAAAAAAATACAAAATACATAATAATTTGAATGTCAAAAACGACTCATAATATGAACAGAATGTAACATTACACCTATCTATCGTATTACAATTCTATTAAATTTTTAATATCTGTCATTCCAATTAAAATTTTCTGATTATTTAAAGTAGTAGAAATTGATAAAAATGTATTGCTTACCTTAATATGACAGGAATACAGAAGCTCACTTTAAACTTGGATGTAAACACAAGCATTTTTTAGTGGAATTGACACCAGGGCAGCTTAAATAATATACGAAAAAACACTCTTTACATCGCGGAAAACGTTATTTCACTATTCGAGATTTTATTACGTTATTAAATACCACAATAAATATGAGAATTCACGATCTCTTCGGAAAACATCCATCGAAAACTAAAGATGGCAGCCATTCTTCTGTACAAAACAAAGGTTCACATCCACGGACTCGCAAGCAATGAAGCCTCGAACCCAGATAACTTCCGGCGCTGCCATCAACCCGCCATTTTCAATTATTCGAAAATACATAAACTTGTTTTCGATAAGTACATAATATGATTCAATTTAAAACTTTAATTATGTTACTTGATCTCTATAAATTTATCATTTTAACATTTATTTACAAAAATTAAAAATATATCTTTTTTTGTTGAAATAATAAATTTGTGATATTAATATGAAATACTACTGGTAGTTGGCGCTTATATCGAATCTTCAATACAAAATGCCATCTAGTTTAAAGTATATGAATAAACTTTCTGCTGCCAACTTCAAGAGAAGTAGAATAAGTATTTTATGTTCACCTCTTTTGCTTAATTAAAAAAAAAAATAAATAAATAAAAATTAAAAGATTTATTTCGTGCCAATTAGAACGTATTTCTTAATAGATCATTTAATATTCGATTTTTTAACTTTCTTTAAATATCAATTTTATCAATATTTCGATAGAAATCAACTGACATTTAAATAATTATTGACATAAACGTCAGTGAGAAAGTTGGTAGTATTTGTCAAGCTTGTATGATATAAAAATTCTATGATCGCTGTAGCTTAGATTATTGATTTCTAAATATATAACATATGTTTTAAAAAGATAATATTTAAAATGTAATCTGTAAAAATATTTAAATAAAAAATATGTTGTGTGTAACGATAATTTTTGAATTTTTATAAAATTTTTTAGAAATATTATATTTATATTTTATAAATACAAATATCATTACTTATTATATACTTTAGTAAAAACAAAATAGAAAGATGAAAAATAAGATAAATAAAAAAAAAAAAATTTTATATTAATAATATATATAATTAATAATATATATTAGAAATAAATTAGATTTTTATTTCATGGAATATTATTTTAATATATCAAAATGAATTAATAGAAATGCCATTTTTTAATTTGTTAATTATTTATATATTCATGTATTTATCAATGAAAAACAAAAAATTGTTGAAATTAGAATTCTATAGATGATAATATTAAAAATTATTATAAATATAAAATTATTCTTTTTTTTAGTATTTGGAAATGGCAGACACTGATCCACAATTAAAACGGCTTTTACTTCCAGCAGAAGAAACTTTATTTGAACAATTATTAAGATTTGGACTATATATTGGTGCAATATTCCAAGTTATATGTTTATTGGCAATAATAGTTTATCAAGTAGGCCCTTCTGATGGTATAGGTGCTTTGAAGGTATTTAATATTTTATTTATTTTAATCTTTTATATAATGAGTTTTATAAAGTATTGAATAATGAATTTAATTGATTTTCAAATATTATTATGTTGAATATATTAACAGGATGATCCAAGTGATGTTGAATGCTCAGAAAATAGTCCTCAGGTTACCCCAAGAAGACCTCATAGACCACGAAAACAAGAAAAAAAGAAAAGACGTTGAATTGTTTTCTTGTTTATATGAAAAATATATTATTTAATAATTTTAAAAACTAATATTAAATATTAAATGCTATTTGTATAATTTATTATTTAGATTAAATATGTATCAATGATATTTTAAATATTTAATAATATTTTATAATATAAATCAATTATAATTGTTTTTGAAAGAATGTATATTGTTTTAATAAAAATTTATTGATATAATTTTATCTATTTCTAATTTTTTTAAAATTGTAAATGTAATATTTTTAA